ACCGTGTTTGGAGCATTTGTTTTTTAAGGTATTTCTCCCACCTTCTTAGCACGCCTTCGTGGTGTAATGGTCAGCACGGTCGGCGCGTATTCGAGAGGTCCAAGGTTCGAGTCACGGAGAGGGCATTTCTCAATTTTCATGACTCCTGCTTTAAAAAATTCCTAATGTCTGTACAGTTTTGGAGCACTCTTTTAAATGGTAATTTTTTTATTTGTATATTTTAAAAAACATTTTACATGTGAAAGATGTCCCCAGCCTCCCTACCGCGCTGTGCAAACAATGAGCACGACAAAAGTTCCTTCTCTCCCTGCCCGCAAAATACACTAAGAAAGAACTTCCTGGGCCGTGGTTAAAAGTATTACGCTCAACTGATATACAGTACGCTAATTTCAAATAAATTATTTAAATATTTAGAATTAGATTACAATTAGATTAAAAATATGAACAAAAGATTTGAAAAATGGTTTATTAGATTTATGTTATATTATTTTTTGTATTATTATTAATTTAAATTTTGAAAATACAAATAATAGTTCAAAAACAAAATCGCAGACTCTAACTGCACTAAAGTTCGATTTTAATTAATGTGATGATTATGTTAAAGTATTGATTCAATTTTTTTTAATATTTGGTATAAAATTGCTTAATTTGATTTGTAAATCACCTCGTTTAAAAATATTCAATCTGTTCTTTGTTTTCCATTCTAATTTTTCTTTCTTCGTATTTTTTGCCTTATTTTAAATTCTTGCATTTTATTTTTTTATATTGCGCTTATTGCATAAAATATGTGTATATTAAAAAAACTGTTTGATTTAAAAAATATATTAATTTAGTGTACTTTTGTATAATAATTTTAGTGTATTTAGTGCTTTTTAAATTTTATGTCAATAAACAATTAATTATAAATTTTATTGATAATTGTTTTTTATAATAAATGGTATGCGGATCAATTCTGGTGCATATTCGGCTGTTCGGCGGGGCATTCTCGGCTATGCATAATCAGTATATTCAGCCCAGCCGACCTCTTGATCGTGCTTGATACCCTTTAAACGTTTTACTTCTTCCTGAGGGTTAATATCAACTCCGCTGGAAATCCCCGGTTTAAATCAAAAGAACGATATATTATTGCATGTGATGGTATATTTTCTCAGTTACTCTTTATAAGTGATGGAAAAAATTTCTTGTTTGTTCTGTTACTGTACTTTACACACTTATATGAAGATGTAGCTATCTACTAATTTGTAGAAGGCAAGAAAGCTTTGGTAATTCAGGTTACTATATTTGGCACTTAAGCTACTGGATTCACTCATAAACAGAGTTATGGGTTTGAGTTTGGTTCTAGTAAAGAATATATGTCTAAGTTAAAAATACTAAAATATTAAAATATAATTTTTTAAAAATAACTTTAGCTTTTTATTAACCGTATGTGGTTTTCAGTAGTATGCATAATGGTTATCAGTCATCAGTAACTCATTAGTATCGTTTATCCAACGCATTTATAAACGCAAGGAGAATACATTTTATTCTATAAGAATTTCCTTTGAGTTTCACTAGTGCACTTCAGTACTGTTTGTTCGAGCCTTTATTTTACCATCGTGCTCTTAGACGAGTAAGATAAAATTTTGCCTTAATTAAGTTCTTTATATATTCTCCAATTTTCAGTTTCTAGTGATGATCTTGTTTTATACTTTGCAGGTACAGAAGATTTTACTCTTATTTTCAGATACAAACTTAGCAGAAGTATTTTTTATTACTTTACATTTAAGTATTATATAAACCATAATCAATTTCAGAAGCGTCTCATTACAAACGAGTTCGCCCATAGCATGGTGTCAGAATGACAAAATGTTTCCATATTGATTGCTTCAACCAGGGTAGATAGAGATGGTGGGGGAGGCGAGATGAATCTTATGAGCAGAATAAAACCTTCTCTTCCCCTTCCCATCTCATTCTTTTCGTAGCCCGACAGGTCCGGGAGAAACCAATAATTCTCCAATATTCTTGGAAGAAAATAAAATAGAAATAGCTATCAAGCTATGCATTGCGATGAAATTTTACCTCGCCCTTGAGGAGATTATATTGGTTCATAGATCCGAAATTTGACTTCTTTGGGAAAAAAAAAAGTATCTTTAGTTTTATCCTTAAATAATGAAGGCATGCAAACAGACGATAAAGAGCCGTTGTTTCGTAGGGCATGATGGGTAGAATGGCGAGTTGGAAGTTCTTGAAAATCGAGAATGGGATTTGGTTTCAATTTGGCGCTGCAGAAGTTTTTCCCTATTATTATTATTATTATTTTAAAAATTTTACCGGTTTTGAATTAACGAAGTTGAGCATATTGGGTTTCAATAAATATGAAGACGGAGGTTTTATAGCTTCAAAAGGAATATTTTTGGTGATTCTGTTATGATAAATGCTTATTTTTTCCTAAATCTAGCATTAATTTACTTTTTAAAATTATCTTAGAGAAGTGTCTTCCTTTGGAATCATATTCTGAAGAACAAATTATTTTTACTTAATCTGGGCTGGATTTTTAAAGAGATTTAATAATTCAAATTCATTTGGTTATGAATGAAATGATAATTCTGCACTTCTTTTTCATTCACTCTAAGCACTTAGCAAAGTAGTGTAAAAAGAATGGAACAATGTGCGAAAATGGATTATTTTATAGCATTTTTAATGAGCTGCTGAATCATTAATTCAAATAAAGGAAACTTATAAATTCAGCCAAATCAAGCAATTAGTAATTTTTTTCTTTCAAGATCTTTATCTAGAGCACATATGATTTCTACAAGGCATTGTTGTGAATTTTGCCTTGCTTTCAAGAATGTATTGTTACCTCTATTTCATAATTTTTACGATAAATTAAAAATTCAAATTAACAACAAGAATATTCATAACAGTGATATGTTAAATAGAATTAATTCGGTAGAATTTTTAAAATATGGACTTTAGCAAACTATGAGATTGCAACAAAATGAATGCAAATACGAACTCTATTTAATTATATATATATGTAAAAGGAATTCCTTGCAAGAAATGTAAGCATCACAGAACTGACTGAAAAAACTTCGGAACTACTAACCACAAAATACTGAATCAAACAAACATGTGAATAACCATATTCCATATGATTTAACAATATTTATTTAACAACATGCAACAAATTTGTAACTACCATGTAAAGTCAGTTGTATCACCATGATGAAGTAATATTCATGCACCGCCATGTATAATGTAACTTTTCATAGATATAAATGTATGTATGAAGCACTCGGGACATGCGGACGAGCCTCTAATGCACTGCTGGCAGGGGTAGGGCCCGCGGTGTAGCGTGAGGCGGGCATCTTCTGTTCCAAGCTAGGCTATTCGGGAAAGTTAGTACGAAGGGACACCTGGTTCACCTGTTGGTAAATAGCTGGTGTCCCCCTTTTACCTATACCTATACCTATCTTAGTGTTATATCATTATTTAATCAATATACGTGAAATTTGTTTAAATTCGCTGAAATGACCAATAATATTGATGGATTTTTTTCAGGGAAAAAATATACATATGTTTCGAAAAAGCATTTGTAGAAAGGTGAGAAATGCTAAGATCTCATTTATACTTGAATTCATGTAACATAATGACTGTTTTACTGCAGAAGATTTAAGATGTTTTAGTAATACATAATGCATTTTAACCACATTCGCAACGCATGATACGACATCAGCATATCATATATTTTTAGCGTCGTGTTTGCCGTAATTTACGCTTGTCATTGTATCATTACTCATTTTTCAATAAAATTCTGGTCTAACTGGCAGTGAGATGATTAGCGCTCTGGCCTGTCATTCGTTGCGTGTTTGAGACAAGTTCGTTTGTATCGATCTAGAATCTGTTTTAAACAGCACGTGCTGTCTAATTAGTTTTCTGGGGAAAAAATGATCACTGAGCCACAAACTTAGACAATCAATAAACATTCTGACAGCCCATTAAGACAATTTACTCATTTACAATGCATAGCAATTTAGTAGCTTTTGCCATTTTTTTCCAAATTTCAATGTCTTATAATTTTTATGGTTTGTTCCTAAATAAAGGTACATTTTTATAAGTTCATATTTTGCGTTTATTGAATCTTACTCCTCGTACTAAATGATAGTAGACATAATTTTACGTAGTACTAGGGTCTAAAATATTATTAGCCCACACAGACATATAAGGCTACTTTTCAATTTCCATTTATTTAGTGTATAAGTGTATAGAAAAATGTTTACAAAATTTTATAGAATTATTTATTTTTTTACGATATTGACTGGATTAAGAAGATATTACAGGCTTAAAACAGCAGTGGTTCAGTTGGAAGAAACCTTGATGGGGACGATAATTCGAAAGGTTTAGTACTGGATTCCCTGTAAAAGTATTTTCGAATCGCAACTCTGGACTTTTTTCTGAATTATAGACCATTGTCGTAATTTTACAATTATAGCTGCATTAATAATTAATAAAATATTGAATGTGAAATCAGCTTGAGATAATGAAATATAAAATATATTTATGAGTATTTACTCAACAGTCAGTAACATACGGTATTTTTTCGTTTCCTGCATTTGCAGCTTTATCTTAAATTTTACACAACAACAAGCTTCCGAGATTTTTTAGTTTTCTATGGTTGCATTTGTTTTTAATTTTACGCAGCTACCAGTCTGCAGATGATATTTTCACTTTCTTACATATGATATTTTCACTTTAGTTACAAAAGTTTCTTAAATTTTTCCTAGCAACTAACTGCAGACAAGACCTTATGGTTTTCTGCAGCTGCAGATTTATCTGAAAATTAACTTTAGACAAGATTTTCAGTTCTCTGCAATTTCAGATTTCAGCCCCCAGAATGAATGTCTTCTAGGCTGAAGCTCCAAATATTCCAATACGTCGAAATATTCAAATATTTCCAAATATATTCCGTGACTGCTGAATTGGGGAATAAAAGAAAGCTAAGATAAACGTATTATACTTACCAAGGTCTCATGCGGCAATCGTACATATCTGGTCCTTCGAGAACTCGCCACTTGGTGGCTGCAAGATGAAAAATATTTTTGTTTTCTTTCTTTAACAAGTAAACATAAAAGCATTTGTAAAAGCATATATAAGACGTCGAAATAATTCATTACAAGTTTCAAATATTTATTGACTCTAGATATGAACTTTCAGTTACAAAGTTTCTCTAAATGAGGTATAGAATTTTACCGAAGTAGTTTCAGGGCTGCAGAGAGGAAGATTATATAGATATAAAATCTAATTTTTCATACGATTAATGTACACCGCAGAAATTCCAGTTAGCCAAATTTTCATTATGCTTTTACAAATTAAGTACAAAACATTTTCATACTTTTACACGCGAAATTTCTAATAATATATAGAGCTACCAATTTTATGCGACCAGCTATTTTTTCGCATAAGGAATGCTGTTTTTTCGCATAAGGAATCATTAAAAGCAAGAAAGTAATGTTTAGTAATTTTCCCCTAATATGGTCAAGAAATTTCAGGTTAGCCCAGTAATAGGTATTGAAATCTGAACTTAATTGATATGTTATTTGTTTTGCCCTGAAGCAATACGTCATTTGTTACCATACTTTTACCTTCAAAATTCTTAATGGTATATAAAAGCTATTAATTTTATATGGCCAGCTAAAATTTTAACAGAATATGCTGTTCTACAGCATAAGTAACAGAGGTATTATAATTAGACCCGAATCAATGTGTTATTTATTGAATTTCCCGTGAAGTTCGCTTGTGAAGGTATGAAACATTTCATATTTAATTAATTTAAGGATGATTATTATTTCACAAAGTGACAATTTATCTATTCAGAGATAAAATGTTAAATAATAAATGATATAAAATGGTATTATTTTTTTTACTACGGAGTATTCTCATTTGCATTATTGAAATTGTTTTTATGAAATTCTCTGTCTTTATGATTAGATGTGCATGTTTAAAATCATTATTTAAGCTCTGTACCGATTTATTTGATCATCCTATATGCAAATTATAGAATATAGAGGGCGATCTAACAAATAACTACACAGACCAAGTATAATAGTTTCATATCCTTTAACTTATACAGCTATTATATTCATAATAGCTGTAGAATATACTTTCATTAGCTATTATGAAGGAAAGTTAAATGATTTTGACTTGTCATTAAAAATAAAAATTTTTAAACAATTGTTTAATTTGAAAATGTTTTAAAATTGCAAAATTTAAGGAGTTCTTACCAGGAAATAGTCGAAGGAAGCCAGTAGCACTGCCAAAGAACTGCCAGATAAGAGACGGATCATACATGAAGTTGTTTTGAAATGTAGGATTTAATTTTTCTGACCATTTTATAGCGTTCAGCACCTCAGGAGCTAAATGAAAGGGAAAAAAATTCAAATTATCTTTAAATTTCATACATCTAATTAAGCTGCTGTAATTAGAAGGATCGGATTCCTATGTCTAGCGACTTTATGAAGTTGCACATACGCACAAAATAAAGGATCAGCTAATTAAGTCACGTGACTTTAAAAACATGCGCATCTACGGAAAAAATGCATACCTTTGTTGTTATGCAAAAATTTTTCAACTGCTACTGGAGGAATTCAAATTATTAAGTGACTTTCCCCGTTCCTTTTCGGAACACTAAAAGGTTTGCTTTTGTGTGACGTTACTGACTCCTAATCTGCTCAAAAGCAACTATTCTCTTCGCGATTTTGTTCTCTCACTTATGCACGTCAATGACGTTAGCGTAGAGAAGAGTCCAACCATGTTCGTCTACTGACCTTGTTCGGTATTTAAGAGCTAAAACGCTACACAGTTCTGTTCAGTTTAGACAGATATTGTTAGAAATAATATATCATTATTATTTTAATTAGTTTGTCAACTAAAGGATTTAGTCTTTCGTTTTTTGGCCCTTGAGTTGTAGAAAAATGTCAAAGATAAAAATCTTAAATGTTTGACCAATTTTAAAAGCGGATGCCATACTAAGTTTAATTAGTCACAACAATGCTATTACTGATGATTGCCATTTCCAATAGAATTCGAAATGGGTGTAGTTTCTTCCAATTTATATGCACTTCTTTGCTTTTCTTCATTTCTTTCTTTCTTTTTTTTAAGTATTTTATTATATAGCAGTGGCTTTCAAATCTGAATAATATTTACTATGTTGCAGAGACTTCCAAATCTCGAGCTTTTGTAGTATTGCATTTAACGAAAATGCGCGGAAAACTTTGCTTTAAAAAACCGTAATTTCAGTTTAACACGCAAATTACAGGAATCGCATTGATCTCTCGGAAATGGTGCTGCTTTGCGATTTTAAATTAATTTATCTACAAAAAAGAACCTTTTAGTCATTTCGATATATTGAATTTTCTCCTATTTTCTAAAGAAGATTTTATATTTTTTCGGAGTTAGGAAACGTAAGAAATCCAAAGCTCCCACGCTGAAATTCGAACCACATTAGCTGGACACCAATAAAATATTTCATGGAATCCAATAATTCCTCACATAAATGATGACTCGGGAGTATGAGAAACTCCCCAGTCAACCAAACTCAGGTCTTGGCAAATTATCGTTCCTCACGTTTTAGCTCAGGCTCCACTATAAAGACCATTTTACATTTTATTGAAGCAGAGAAACGTGAGAAATTTACTCCTCACCAAGTTCGAGCACTAAATATTGTAATTTGTTAGCTAGACATACTAACCACTTACAGCACGATGGCTCGGACGAATTAATGAGATAATATCTTTCAACATCGCATGCAAAATATTTGGATAATATAGAGATTATCTACACACGTTACTGAAATGAGAGGCTACAGTAATTAGCAGCCACTAGGGGTTTCGAGTTTGGAGGAAAAGGTAAAAGTTTAGAGACTCTGAAGCTTACAGTCCTTAACAATCACAAAAGTTTTCTTTAGTTAAAGAATTGCGATCAGTCAAAGAGTTTAACAAAGGTTGTAAGACTGTTAGAATACAATAATGATACTTTGACTTTTATTAAGTTATAGCAAAGAGAAAAATAAAGTTATACTATTAAATTTCCTTACATCCCTTTAAAGAATATAAATTATCATTACTTTTTTCTGTCTCCCGATCATCCAAAAAACACTCTTCCTTTGCATTATAAAAAGATTAAAAGCGCTTAAGAATTCTGTTTAATAGGAAAAACTAAATATTACGTTTATAAAGAACAAGGAGGATTAAGTAATACTGATGTTATGTGAATTTTCTAAGCAAAAGACGATAAAAAATTTATTTTAGTTTGTTCCAATCTATACTGATTTCTTAAAAATAAAATAATGAAATAAATAAATAAAGATATTGTGGTGTTATTCAATGTTTTGTTGTTTTTATAATTTAACCTGACGCTACGATAAAGAAAAAATGTCATGTGTTTAAATAAAAGAATTAAACTTACTTTTAAATGCATATAATACTGTTTTACGTCAAATACAAATATTCAGTTATATTTGTGCAGTTTTTTGTTTTTTAAATAAAAACCTTATACCCACCAGCATTGACTTACGTGTAGCTGAAGTACCTCAAAACTAAAAATAGTGTACGTAGTCTGCACAAGATGGCGCAGGCATCGTATTACTGAAAGTTGGAAGAGTATTCGGTTTAGAAAGCATGGCGAGTTACTTCGTGAGGTTTTGATGGTTTTCATCACATTAACAGAAAAAACAGGGAGGAAATCTATATGAGTTATGCCAGAAGTAGGAAGAAGGTGTGTTGAAATTTATGAGATACTTTCACATCTTAAAAACTGAATTAGAAAGTTAGTTCCCTTTATTACTGTAGTTTTCCCGAGTTTATGCAAAATTTTTATACACGGCTGTTAGACTGCATTAATTTTAAAGGGAATTACCCTTCTAATGTAAATTTTATAATTTGAATAATAACGCAAGGAACTGAAGTAAACATCTTCCTATTTCGAACAGTACTTTTACATACCTCTGCCTCATTCTCTCTTAACGTTATCATAAAAACGCTCCATCTTGTAGTTTTAGGAACAATGCCAACAAATTTCTATATAATTAAACTTTACACTTTAGAATTTCGATATACTTACATGAGATAAATTTACCCAGTCAAGCGCGACCCACAATTATTTTAAATGAGTTTTAATTTACCTTTACTGGTAGTTCAAATCTGGATGGATCTACCAGTAATCAGCGGTTTTAACTACTCGATCAGTCTAAAAGATTAGCGTTTGAATACTTTATTCTGTCCGGTGATAAACTTTGAAACAGGATTTGCAACTACTGAATAAATAAAAATAAATAATAGTAATAACAACAAAAGAGTGCAATTAAATATATTAATGCATCTGGCTAAACTGATACACAAAAACAGTCTTCAGCAGCAATATGCCATTTTTGTTCGCCTGAATATGAGAGGTTTTTGAAAATCGAAACTTTACTCATGCATCTAAACTGCAAGTATATATTTGGAACTTTCAAAATCAGGTATCTGAAATGTTTTCCCAACTGTTATTTTAAACACTAGAAAAAGATTTCACGCTGTTTTTCTTTCCGAAATTTTTAACACATTTGTGGAACACGATTTTATACTCCGACCGATTTTAAGGTCCTTTGTTCTATTTATAAATATGAAAAGTGCTTATTTAAATTACACTGTCAATAGTTTATAATTGTCCATTTCGAAATTGTTGTCTAGATGCAATAATAAAAAATGCAATCACGGGACTCAGTTTTCAACTGTTTTCTAAAATTTCAATTTTGTATTAAAATTAAAATATGACACAAAATGCATTTTTCATAACCTTTGTCGAGAAAAAACGACTTTCATAATCTTTTACTTTTTTAAGAGTTAATCGTGAAAATAGCTCTGTAGAATGGTATTATTTTCACAATTTCATTTTATTTTAACATATTTCTTTACCTTACGTCGATAGAAGCGTTTGCTTTGATACCAACTTAATTTAATTTTCTAATTACCTTAAATACTTTTCTAGAAGAAAAAGCAAACAAGCGTTAAGTCAAGGTGTATTAAGGCTAGTCTTTACATTACATTGTATTAGAGCTAGTCATTGCATTACATTATATAACAGCTAGTCATTACATTATATAACAGCTAGTCATCACTTACATTTGTCATACACATTCGTAGGCACATGCACAACACTGTGATTGATATTCACAGGCACTCCATCAAAACTCCTATGAGGTGAGAATTCCATACGCATCCAGCCCGGTTCAAGAGGTTTCGGTTCTCCTGGTTCATATAGTTTCTTTGCATTATAGTAGTCCAGCTGCATTAAAAGGAATTCAAACAAAAATGTTCACATGGTCAGAGAAAATTCTATCGATAAAAAAAGCATATGACAATCTCCTAGTGATGAATGTAAAACATTCCTACAATAAATATATGAAATAAATCAAGTAAAAAAAAATTGACCTAAAACATACAATCTCTCATCTTGTTTATACTCATGCAGACGCAGTTTAACAATTTTATTTATGTAGCTATATATTTTGATCTGTCTTCCTATTTAACTATCTATAAATCTACTGTCTGTACTCTCACCCAGTTTTCTCTGTGTGTGCGTGTAAAATTGGTATTTTGTTTTGGTTAACTCTAATTCAGCTTTCATTCATTATCCCGGGTAATCCAATAGCGCAACAGAATGAATGAGCGGTTAATCAGTTACAAGCAAATTTTTTTAACGTTACGCGAAACTTTTATGACTGTTATCTCTTAAAAACTATTTTAAGTCACCCAGGATTGTTAACACTTATTTATAAAAGATATAACAATATGGACAATATAATTCTATTCAAAGTATTTTTTCTAATTAAAAAAGGCTCAATTAACAGTTTAAACATAAAATATTTTTATTTGTAACATAAAATATTTATTAAGTATAAATAATATATAATAATATTTATTTTATTATTTTAAAACATAAAAATGTTTATTTGATTATTTTTATTAACATTTTGTTAACTTTGAAGATTTTACTCTACATTGTATTTCCTTTTCCTCCTTTACCCACTTACTTTAACTAGCTCGGTTTGGTTTATTCAGATTACTGCAAAGCACACTAAGCTATCTACCTAAGGGAAGGGATGCTTTCGTGAAGAACTTTCTAAGAGAAATTGGCTCGTATATACGTTGAGCATGGGGAAACCATGAAAACATCCACGCAGCTAGCCTGTTTGCCTGGAATCGTACCCAGGTCGAAACTGCAAGTGTTTAGCGACTTACCGCTCGACCATTGGCGGGCCTACTTTAACTGATGCCTGGACTACACTTACTCCTATATTTTATTTTATTCACAGAACACAATTTTGAGTAGCAGGTTTTAGTTGATGAATCAGTTTATAGCGCTAGGTGAGGTTTTCCTGCAAAGCAGAGGAAAGATAACACACATGAATACTAATTTAAAAGAAGCTGGGGGCATAAAAATTTTAAAAAGTATTTATTTAATTAATTCTGTGAGATGTACAGTAAGTGAGAGAAACACACAACTTCCAAAAACGTGAACCAAAAGGATAAGAAAAAAGAATTATGAAATAAAAAATGGGAAATTTTACCAGTAAATGTTCAGTTTATTAGTCTACATCAAAATACATTTAAGAAGAAGTAACCTTTATTCTTACCTTTAAATCTGGATCAAAGTTATATTTCAAAACAGCTGACTCCGCTTCTTCTCTAATATTCTAAGAAATAGAAAAAAAATTAAGTTTATCTTCTTTTAATTAAAATAAATAATTGCAATGGAACTGATATCAGATTTATAATTTAATACTGATAATTATGGAAAATTAAGTAGAAGTAAAAAATGATCTTACTGAAATGACTTTTGCTTTCCAAGACATCATAGTCTGTACATCAATTCGCATTTCTTCTAACATTTTTGTCGCCTCTACCCATTCAGGCACTGCCCCAAATTTGTTAAAATTCTGAAAAGGAAATGCGTAAATTCAATTTTAAGTAAGCCTCTGTTGAAATTTTATATATAAATTTATTCAAAATGTTTCTCAAGGTTACAGATGAGCATAATTGAGTACCTATTAGCTGCATATTAATTTGATAGACATCAAATGAATAATAAATAAAATATTAGTCTTGAAATGTCCACGAAAGGTTGATCAAGTTTTCTTAACAAAGTTTTGTACCAAACTTTCGCTGATACGGTGGACATTAACGAATGCCGTCTTCTCGTTACTAGTGTAACTTAAAAGGGTCGCAAAAAATCAGTTCTAGGAAAAACCTCAGACAGTTTCCCTTTCTTTTCTAATATTACTTATTTCTTTGCGTTTTCATATGTTTTTCACAAAATCAACCTTTTGAAAATTATTTAAATGTACTTAAGGATAACCGGAAAAAATGCTTAATATTGCATGATAAACTTACCGAAAAACATCCTGTACTTAGAAATTAACAGGACTTGACAAAACCCTTTCTAACAATAAAGGCTAGTATGCTTTCGGAATATCTCGGCTAAAGTCAATCGAAAAGAAGCCGATTAATCGGAAATTTGTTGTAACTGATATTTGCATTAAATCTTTTCGCATTTCAGTCAAAGAAGTGAACACAGTACGCGCAAACGGTGTAGTGGTTAGGGAAGCCTACTGCGATACCGAAGGGTCCAGGTTCTAATCACGGAGAATGTATGGATGTTTATAAAAGTATAGTGTTTGTGCGGTATGAGGGCACCCTAAATATGCGGATAAACTAGATATCGTTTTTTTTCATAATGCTAGAAACATATATGCATTCATGAATATTCTTCATTATTTAATTTCTTTAACTATAACACAGGGCGATAATATTTGGTGGCAACAATTTTAAAAGTAATACAGCTGTTTCTAGTGACTTGACGCAAAATGCCGTTTCGAGACTAACAGCCCTTCTGGGCTTAAAAAAATGATAGATATCAAAGTCTATAAGTTATTCATTGTAGTTTACAAAATGTCGTAATTTGGGCAATAATGATAATAATAATAATAGGAGGTCAATCATTTAAAAATTTTACTCTTAAATGCGTACAATTTGAGATATCAGTGCTTTCAGTTACACCGTCAGTTTATTGCTATTCATTAGATTACTAGGGTACCTAAGAATTGTAGAATTATCTGACTAAAATTATCGCCCCATTCTTTACGGCTTAGAATACCACTTCTTTCTTAACCGCATTTACACTTTTTACTCGAGGTAAATAATCAATTCCACGATTTCTTTCACTTGGGGATGGAAAATTTTGTTTATTTAAAAATAGGTTCAGGTTTTATTTTTATAGGAAAAAGAACAATAAAAGATGTTTTTAAACGTCTGAACATTTACTTGACTGTTTTTCAGTTATTGATAAGACTAATTACCGCGATTCAGCTTTGTTTCCTTTTTGATGTCATACAGTAACTTCACACATGTTTCAAGATTATTGCACTGAATGTAAAATTTATTTGGAAAGTAAGAAAAATTTCAAGCCTCAGCTCTCTGGATTGAAACTTATAGCCTTAACACTTCAAAACATTGATTTGATAATGTTTCTGTTATTTTCGTAGATCATAATAAATGTAACACAGTGCCATAATTTTGTTAATACCCCATTCAACTTCACTTCCAAATGAACATAAAAGTAATGCTACGCTTAAATATCCAATAATTCTTCAACTAGGAATTCAACTAGGAATTTTACGCATATAACTTTTCTGCTTCTTTTTTAAAACTTTTTTCTTTCAAATCTTCTTCGACTGAGCTGAATAGAACTGAATAAGTATTTTAAAAGCGTTCGTAGAGAAAGAGGAAAAAAATTGCCTTAAGTTATGATCTAGCGTGCTGTGGCAAAGTTTCTGACAATAGTCCATTTCAAAGAAAAATGAAAAAGATTTCTCACTGGGTGAAACTTCTCTCTAACACTCCCCTCTCCATGTAAAAGAGAAACAGAAAAAAAAAAAAAAAAAAAAAAAAAAAAAAAATGTCACAAACGGGAACATTTGCATCTGCATGGGCCTGATTTTACAGTACGATTACTATGTGGTAGAAGAAGTTATCGTGATGAAAAGTGTCGATTTTTATTCTATGGATAAAACTTCCAATTTTCCTCCAGGATAAATTTAGTCGCGCCTTACAGAGCGCAAGAAACGAAATCGCCGGTTAATGTTTAAAGAAAATAGCCCCCGGTTACGAAAAACGACTGCTCCAGCGACAGTAAATATTATATATATATGTATATACCATCTCTATATATATATCTACCAGTTTTCCTCCCTTTGGTTATATACATATATATTTGGCCTTCCTCACACCCCTGACACATCAGAAAGTTTCTTTTCCGCAAATGTTATTGTTCACTGCTCTTCCAATTTTCCAATTACTCTGATATTGTGCAAGGAATCCATTTTCTTTCATTCCTCATAGCCCACCTTCAGGCATTCCCTTTTTTCGGCTACACGCCAGCCGTTAGGAGGCGCCATTACCTGTGAGACACGAGGAGGGAAATGAATGGCGAAAAGATATCACGTGAGAAAGCACATCTAACTGTCCGTCTGTCATGGCGGCCAAAACGCTGCTGAGGATTAATAATTCAAATTCGTCTTGACAAGCTCACATTCCTTTCTTCTTTTCGTAACCGAACAGATTCAACAGGAAATCACTTTTGTACGTTAAAGCAGATAGACATAAGTAATTAAGTTGTATTGGGCTGCCATTACACAGAACGTAAGCCTGGATTTTCGGTTTTCAAAACTTCATACAAAAGAAAAGGGGGGGAGGAGTAATAAATCCCTTTTCCATAAGTGCTTTGAGTGAGTTTATTTCACTTTTACGAACAAACTTCTTCCATTTTATCTTCTAATATATTTCTTCTTTCCTCCGAGGCAATTTCGTCCACTTACATCAAATGTAGCGTTTTTGGAGGCCTTTCTTCAATATAACTAGACGAAAGAAAAGGCAATAAGAAAGGACAGACTCTTAGAAATCGTACCGGGATTACTTCGGATTGTCAATAGCACAGTAGTTACGGAAACTGTACAAATAAATAAAATTTAAAAATCTGTATCCACGTGTTTCTATTTCGACAAAGCCAGTTCCGTGTAATTACATTTTAAAATCAATATTAACCTATAACTTCTATAAAGTATTTTTTAACAAATAAATTATTTAAGACTATTTTAACATCTCCTGGTTAGAGTTATCTCTAATAGTTACTTTTAACGGAATATTATTATAGTTTTTATTTTTGAAACTAGAAATTGAATAGCACTCAAAAGTGTAAATTAAATTCAATTTTTTTCAATACGACAACTCGTGATGGCATTTCTCATTTCCCTAATAGTCGTATGTTGATATTATTATAAAATTCTGAAAGATAAATGGAATGAAAGAATAGTTATCATAAACTCTTGTTTCGGAACTAAGAAAATATCGTTATTTAGAATCATTGAATTAGAAAGGCAATTTAGTACGAATCAGAACTATTTAAAACTAGAACACCAGTAAATTAATAACGCATATAGATACATTACTGAAACTGTTTTTGCTACGAAATTAATGACTCTTGATGAAAATATGACGAAAATTGATACGAATGATTAATTGATAAACTCTGGCATTTAAATTTAACTTTAAAAGTTATCGAAAAGAAATGTGAGATGAGCTTTTCAAGAAATGCATGCGATGACACTACTTCTTACATAATAGAGTCAGGCTTGCCTTCAGAATTTTCGATGCCAGGGCTCCGGAAACTGAAGCCCCATATAAATTAAGATGCAACTGGCATTCCATGTTAGCTAAGCATATCAATAATTCAAAGTAAAATATATCTTTGTTTAGTTATCGCATATAAGAACATCTTAATAACTATCCTCAGAAAAATGGGAACCCTAGGCGGCTGCCTATGTCATCTATGCTTGGAAATGGCCGTAAATGACGCTAACACGAAACGATTAAAGGGTGATTGCTGGTAATTAAAATTATTGTTCAAAATTGAGAATTTATTCTTAAAGCATTTAAGAAACCTGCTTAATGTAAGACTGCAGAAGAAACATTTGCATTAAAAACTAAATAACAGTGAATGAAAAATATGACAACTTACAGAAGAAATGTTGAAGAAATTCCTGAAGAACATAAATACATTGAACGCAGAAACATCCTTTACAACGGATATGAAAGAGAAGAAATCTTCTGTTTTTTATATTTGTTGATCGCGGAGCAAGAGATTGAAAGCTTAGGAATTTCGGCGCGCAAGGGACTAATTTACACAAACTCTTAATCAATTTTCCTCTCGTCACTATCTGATAAAGAAAATTAGTATTTTATAATTATCACGTCTGTATTTCCTTCTAAAAGTTTAATATCTGCACGAAACAAAGATTTTCACGATAGAGTTTTATTAATAAAAGTACTTAACAGCTCCGTGGAAGTAATTTAGATTATCAGAATTTCACTTTAGCTTTGTTTCAATAAATGCAGTTAAGAGGCTAGTATTAAAATGCTACTGCAATCCAAATACTTCCCTAAAAACGTAACTCGAACGAAGAAAATGTAGTTAAACAAAATATATCCACACAAAAAACTATACAAATAAACTGAAAGTCCTCACCCCCCCTAAGAGTAAAATTTAATGAACATCAGAAGAAACAGCAAGTTCCGCATCGGTAAAAACAATACACCTCAGCACAAACACTTTTTAAATTGATATTTTCCCAAAGGCAATCTTCTTATGCAGACTATCAGTGCGTGCTATTTAGGAAATCATTTTAATTGCTTAGAGCTCAGGAAGGAAGCCAAAATAATAATTAGTCATAATCTTCATTCGCTGAGCAACATTAAAAAACTGGAAGAGACAGGATCTAATAAAGAAAGCGTTTCTTAAGAAATGCGGCGACTTAATACGGACTTTATTTAAATTTCTGAAAGAATGCAAGACTTAATTTTAGAATTCTATGATGTCATTT